TCCTATTATGTGCTAAGGCATTGGCGTTCCCATGTACATGAAAGGTGGCGATGGACATCCCTCAAGGTTGAACATTCTGGAGGCATCTGAATAACGTCCCGTGATTGGTTGGTAATTAGGGTATCCTATTCATATGCTAATTATGGATGGTTTGGCCCATCAGAATTAAGGTTTCCCATGATTGCTTATAAATAGGCCTACACATACCTATCATTGTCCACCGCTAGTTTTTGTGAGCACATTCATGATAGCAATCATTGTGAGAGCACATCATTTGGAGCAATTTGTAAGCATGAGATAATCTTTTGGCTTGTGATTTCAAGTGATTAGGGGTGAAAACGAGCCAAGCTACTCGTGAGCTACTCGCGATCGGATCGTTAAAAGCTTGACTCGAAACCGATTTTAAACGAGCCCGAGCCGAGCTCGAGCTTAATATTAAGCTCGTTTATTAAACGAGCTCGAGCTCGAGCCTATGTCACTAAGCTCGATTAGGCTCGCGAGCCTAAACGAGCCTTTATATAATATAATTTATTATTATTTTTATATATTAAAATAAAAACATATTTGGGGATTAGGGATTTAGGGTATTAGTAAACGAGCTTCTTAACGTGTTCGAGCCGAACTTAAGCTTATTTAGGCACGTCAGACAAAAAACGAGCCGAGCCCGAGCCCGAGTCGAGCTTGTATAATTATTTACGAGCTCGAGTCGAGCTCAGTACAAGAAGCTCGAGTCGAGCTCGGATCGGATCGTTTGCACCCCTTGAAGTGATGTGTAACATTGTGAGCAATTGTAATTGTTCTTTGAAGTTAATAAAATCCTCTATCTCGTTCTTTCGTGAACACATGTCACTTTGACCGAACACATAGTGTGTTTAGTTTTTAGTTTTACGTTTGTAGAATTCTCAGTTTTATCTTGCGTGTTTTACCAAAACTAGTTTGTCATTTGTATGAAATGCTTAATTTTTTTTATTGAATCCCCAACAACAAGATCCCTCAAGTTATCATCTGAAATACTCTCTCACGAGTGTGATATATGTCAAATCAGAATATGAAGATAATGTTCATTTGGAAGAAGCAATAAGTAAAAGTAAAAAAATGATAGTTTGTGGACGGGACAATACGGGTACACCTAGTTCAAGAGCTTTCTTAATCAAATAATTTTAGAAGCATTATTTGTAACATGTGTGTATTCGATTTTAATGGAAGAACAAAAATAGAACTTTTGTTGTTCCGATTTCTTGAAATAATGTTTCTTTTGAGTCGAAATCACATCAACACTAAGAAACCGATGAGGGTCTCCAAGATCTTTAAGAGAAAGACGATCATGAAGTTATTGGAGAACTTGTATAGATATTTGTTTTCAAATTTTTTCTCAATATAATTAAATCCAAATTTCCCGAATAAATCTCATACATTCTAAAACTTTAATTTGTTTGTTTCTTAAAGATGATAATGATTTACTTAAAAATATAACGAAACTATTAACTAGATGGGGCTTTTTTTTCAAGAGTTCAATGGTATTAATATCCTCGCGTATAGATATTTAAAATATGTTCATGGTCACAACATGTTAGTGATAATTCTATAAATAGTTTGTTAATTTATCATGAGATGATAAATTAAGGGATAATTATAGCAAGTCAAAAGATTGGGGTTTAAAACCCTTAAACCTATCCTAATCCCACATAGAAACCAACCACCCTTTCCCTTTTCTCTCATATCCCTCTCGGTTCTTGCTTGCTCTCGACATTCATTTCCTATCCAACTAGGGTTTTTAGTTCTTACCATCAAGAAAAAAGAAGGATCGTGTCATTTTCCCTTGTCACCATCTTGGGGTGCTACCACATTAGAGGTGTTCTAGGTTTGTCTCTAAATCATCAAAGAGAGTAGAAGGAATCGACATAATAAAAGAAAGTTACCATTCAATCTCCTCTTTTTAGTTCTATTATGTTGCATTAAATTTATGAACTTGTGATCCTTGTGAATTATGATTTTGTATGTTTGCTTCCGTTGCATATTTTATGATTTTTAAAGTATCGCCATATCCTCTTTTTAGTTATACTCGTATTTTATATATAGTATGCCCAGGAACTGCAGGGTAGATAAAAATACATACTTAATTTTTTTCCCTACAAGTGATAGATTTCCACCAAATTCTCTTCCACTATATTGATTTCTGTCAAACGTACTCGACAGGTTTCCACCAACAACTGATCGATTCACTATAGTAGATCTATGTAGACGAGCTCCCACACCGTCTACACATTTTTGGTATTATAAATAATGTTTATAAAATATAAGGTACCTAACATCACTCTCATCAACAATTTCTATAACACGGTGCAAATCAGGATATGTTGGAAAGACAAATTGATACTGGAACTGTTTTCAAAATCTATCTTTTCGGACATCAAATATAACAACCTAGAAAACTTCATATTTTATGGGCAAACATACACCATAGTTCTTAACATTTTCCATATTATATTGACTTTCATCATTTTTTGTCTCTCACGACCATACAATGCAAACAACAATAAAAATAATATTCGATAAAATCATTTTTGTAAGAATAGTTGATTTTTAAGACTCTTGAATTTTAACCATAAATAAGTACAATTTCTAGAATTTTGTATATAAATTTCTCTAGTAGGCCCATTTATATTACCAAAGTCAAGATTTCAAGTATAAAGGTCAAATTTTGCAGTATGAAAGTCAAATTGCATAGTACGAATGTCATATTTAGTTGTATGGAGGTTAGATTTTATAATACATAGGTAGGTGTCGCAGGGAAATAAAGAGATTTCGTATGAGAGGATTTCATAGGGCAACATGGGATTTTGTAGAAGGGAAATGTTTTTTCATGGAGTATTTCGTAGGGGCGTCGATACAGGGAGTATTTCGTAGGGGCGTCGATACAGGAACGACGTCGCAACACCTATTAAGAAATAGATGGTTATAGATGGTTGTTTTGAAAAATCATGTACCTAATATTTGTGAAAAGAGATAAATGCTTTTGTCCTTTTGGTTAAATAATACACAACAACCTTAGCATCCATTATTTAATTTTCAACCTTCTATTTGTTCTTAAATCATGATAAATCATAACATAACTATCATTATTTAATTCCTTCTACTTGCAATCCGTCATATGATACAAAACATCACATATATTCATCACATCATAATTAAAGCTTATATGTAAAATATATTTTCCTTATCAATTTGTATGGTTGGTTGTAACTTTGTGCAACACTACTAGAAAAAAGGCTTTCCTTGACAGATGAATTACGACATACAACATATTTATGACAGGCATAAAAGTCTGTCATAAAATTTATGTCATATATCGTAAAATATCAATGATTTACGACAGACAAAAATGTATGTCGTAACTTTATGTCATATTTTAAAGAGTAAATTAGAATGATTTTTATCCGTTAATACTATAAGGAAAAGTTAGTAATCGCAAACAATAATACAATGATGCTATGTCGACAAGTACATGAGCACTATATAGTATGAAAAAAATTAAAGCATGTTTAAAGGATGTGAGTTAAATATTAAAACCAATAAACCATTAGATTACTGCAAAAAAACTAATTACAAAGCAGGGAAAAAAAACCCCAAACTGGCGAACCAATTTGAAAAAGCTCCACTTTGGTGTGAGGAAAAAAACAAAAAGATGAGTGTTTGGAAAAAAAAATTATATTTTGGTGAAAACTCAAAAAAAACCCTGAAGAATAACCTTTCTAATCGGTAGGTTAGCATTATTTTTGTTTGCTAACCTACAAATAATAGTTATTATATATTAAAAACGATGCATGGTAGAAAATATCATTTATAAAAAGGAAAATTATGCATGATAATAGCTAGCAAAACACCAAAATTTTAAATGAAATAAGTGTTTGGATGGTTTGTAAAAAGAAATAAAAAAAAGAGTTGAAGGATCGTTTCTACAACAAAAAAAAAAACTAAAAGAGTTGAAGGACCATTTCTACAACTTGGATGATTTATGAAGAGCAAAGAAGAATGCAAGGCAATTTCAATAATGTGGATTCCAATTTCAATAAAATGAGGCATTTTTTAAAGTATTACCTCCTAAGAGCATCACGTTTTGTTAATTTGCAGTATTAGGCTACAGTCGCCACCTCTCTCGCCAAACACTTGCTACCGATATTTACACCATCTTGTATGAGTCGCTAAGGGACTCGCCAGTGACGAATCACAACTGTAGCAGCGAGAAGAAAGAGAAGGAAAAGATTGACTGTGTTTGGTTAGGGTTGTTTTTATTTATTTATTTATTTTTCAAAACAAAACCTATTAAATTTCTCTCACAACCACTCCCTACCTTTTTTAACATTTACAATATAAAAACCTATGCAACAATAAAAAATCCTAAATTGATCGCCTAAACCACATATCCAAATTCCACTAAATGGGTTGACCCTAAACCACATACCCTAATTATACGGACGAATCCTCCATTTACTCTATCCAACAATCTGATATCCTAATCGATCCTTATTTGATCGAGTTTCATAACCACATATCCACTGCCCCAGATCTGATACTTTCGGACACCGGATGACAGTTGATGTTAAGTTTCTGACACCTGATTGTGTAACATTCTGTTTTAAAATAAAATAAATAAAATAAAATAAAAGAAATAAAATGAATAAATAAATAGATAAATAAATAAATAATAAACCCTAAAACCCCGAGATATATTTTATATTTTATTTTATTTTAGCCTTAAATCTGTAATAATTTATCAGTTTTAGCCATAAGAAGTTAAATGGTATAATTACTAGAATTTGGAGTCTATATTGTAATATTAGGACTTGAAATGTAAAAGATTTTGTGAAGCGTAGGTGATTAGTAATTATTGGATTTAAATTGTAAAGGAATTGTAGAGGCAGGGACCAATCTCGTTAAAATACATCCAAGTTTGGTAAAACACGGACTTGAACCCGTGATTCCTTACCCCTCCCGTTTTTAGAGTGCAACACCCGAAAACCCCAACTCTAAAACACTCTTTCAGCCGCCACCTTAATCCCGGGCATCCCAGCCGCCGCCGGCCTGCTGCTGTGAACAACCGCTGCCGCCACCTCCGTTCCTTGCTGCACCTAACCGCCGACCATCGCGGCTACCTTCCCTTCCGGAGAGAATGAGTGGCCACCGTGAGTGCGTCCGCTGCCACCATTCCTCCATCTTCTTCTTCTTCTTTCTGTCGCCATCTGCAACCGCAACACGGCAGTTGTCGGTGCTGCTCCGACTGCCCCTCGCCTTCTTTCTGTCCTGCAGAAGCTAGCTGCCGCCGCCGCCGCTCGTACGGCCCTCCCATCCACTATCCGCTGCTCCGGTCGTCGTACCACCCCCGAAGAGGAAGAAACCAAAAGTTATGTATCTAGCTTTATCGTAGCTTTCACGTCATAACACACTTCTATCTGCATCTGTCTATGAGTCAGTTCAAAAGGATTTGGATTACGCACAACACAAACACTCCAGTCTCCATTATGTGTAATAGTTTGTGTGAATTGTTTGATTTAACAACACACACAATATGCATCTTCCTTAATGTGTGACCTAAAACATGATTTGAATTGAGTGTATGATCTGAATATTCGTGAATTTATTGAAATTTGGGTTAAATTATGTGATGAAGGCAACAACGATTGCGGCTTTTGCGATAATGACAGTTGAAGATTCAAAAAAGTTGCTTTTACCAGAATTCTACCCTTCTTAGGTTGTTTTCTCACAGAGACAGAAGTTGAGTGATACTTTTCTACCTTACATTCTTCCCGCTTTTGTACTTTCTCTCCGCTTTCTTTCTATCTTCTTCAGGGACTGATTATTCTGCTTAATCTTTCAGTTGACCTGGCTTAATAACTATGGAGTTGGAAATGAATTGGGAGTTGAAAATAGTTTATTTCAGGAAACAAATTGGTGTGCTTTAGAATACCAACTATACAGGTCCAAACATTTCTTTGGTTTGTAGACATTGTTATGCCAAATTAATTTTTAATATGTGCTTCAATTTCACAATGAATTCCAACACAACAATTTGTTAATATATGAATTATGAGCGCAGACAAGGTTCACAAATTCATCCCTATAATCAAACACACCTTCAATCTTACAAGTTGATCAAGATGCCTCAAGTGAAGATTATAGCTAAGAATTTCATGGACATGGTGTCCTCCTTACCTGCCATGAAGCTCGACAAGCTATACGAGAATGCCTTCATTTGTGAAGCTATTCTCAGGTTATCTGTTTAAGTCCATCACTTTTTCATTGTTAATATATGTTTGATGTTTGATCATTTACACAATGTGTTAACCACATTTTGTTGCTCAGGTCTTTGCCACCATTGGCCAAAAAGTATGTTCTCCAGTTGTTGTACATAGATGTGCCTGTGTCAGCCAGTTCATTGCAAGAATGGGTTCTTGTTGATGGTGCTTCAAAGCATAGAGTTGTTGTTGATAGACTCATTCAATTGAGAGTATTTACTGAACCTGTTGATAGGTACATGTGTTTGCTTAATTCCCTTTTACTTTTTTCTTTTTCAAACAGAGTTCCCTTCACCTATCTGGTTTATCTTTTGATGGATGATTTTTAGTTCATTAGATCATTGCCTACTTCATTTGCCATTTAATTCAAGATTATATAACCTTTTGAATTAAGTCTTATTTGCTGAAGTCCTGAATTGAGTCTGCAGGAAGAAGGAAGCCACTTACAGGTTAAACCTGATGTTTCAGATGAACCTTCGGAAGCATGTTGTTCATGGGTAAGTCATATGACTTAGTGGACTTAATGGTGATATGACTTAAATCACTTAATCTGGTAAGCTATATGTGTGTGTCTCTATTTGACTTAATGCTGAAAGAATGACTTAATGGGAAAAAAACTTATATACCTCTATTGTTGAAATTTGTATCCCAACTCATCTCCAATGCTGATTGCTTATGCGTGTATGTATGTATGTATGTATGTATGTATGTATGTGACATTTGAGGTGGTTTTTGTAGTTGTGTGTTACCAAGAGAACCTATGGCTGCAAATATAACAGTAAGACTCCCAAGCTTAGAGGAGTTAGACAACTATGCTGCTCAACAATGGGAGGTATGAAACCTTGTATAATCTTTTTATGTACTTTGTGTTACTTTCATTAAATTGTGAAGAATATATTTCGGTTTCTATCTTTAATCATTTTGCAGCTTCAGTATCTGTATGTTCTCTTTGATGACTTGCTATTGTGGCAATTTAGTGTTTCTTGCTGCATCTCATAAACTCTGCTGAAGTTGAGGTTACAACAAAGAGCATCATGATGGTTCCTTCCATGATGAAAGTCTCCCAACGAGGCCTTTTAAGTCAAAGGTGGTTTTCAAATTATTTCTTAAAATTATATACCATTTTTCTCTTTAAAGTATGAATCTCATGATGGTTGATTCACATTTCCATAGGGACAATGAAGGTTCTCGGCTCACAGAAAGTGGTTTTCATTTCCTGGTATGAAAAATATGTACTTGAATTTATTTATATTCTGTATTTTATTAAAATTATTGATATCCATTTTTTTTTTTTGCATTACAGCTAATGGATACCAATGCACAACTCTGGTATATCATCAGGGAGTATATCAGTAATTCTGAGGTATTCATATTTTTTGCATCTGTATCCAATTTTGACAACAATTTTTCTATATTCTCTAAATACTATATTTTGAGTCCTTTTTGAACTTTTTATGAACAGGACAGAGGAGTGGACTCTGCAGATCTGATCTCATTTCTGCTAGAACTTAGCTTTCATGTTACTGGCGAGGTATCAATTTTTTTTTAATATATATATATTTTAAAACATAAATGTGATTTGAAAACAAAAACTGGCATATAATATGAACACTTTAGATGAGATACAAAGGATAACAGTTAAAGATCTTGCAGACTTGGGACTCATCAAACTCCAGAACTGCCTTTGTTAAGTTGTTTCTTCTTTAATATAAACATGGACCTACACATTCATAGCAGAATTTCATGTCTGATAGCTGAAGGTGCTTCTAGAACTGCCTTTAAGCCTTCTAAAATTGTGAATTAGTCTATTGGGTTTTTCTTTTATTATTGGCAAGATTGCATATTGGGTGATGATGTCAACTCTGACCAACCAAGATTTCAATTATTCTTTTAGCAGTTCAAGTACAATACTTAATCTGTGATTAGATATCCCTAACCAGTTTGTAAGGTAAGGTCTTAACCTGTCTCATATTGGTCTATGTAAGCTTTCAACTGGGCCATTTGTTTATTTTTTGTTATTTGACTTCTATACTGAAATAAACTTTCAGTTACATCCTCTCTCTCTCTCTCTCATATATATATTTAGAAAAATAAAGTTTTAAGATTGCTAACGGTTAAAACTTTATTTAATCTTAATCTCTTTTCTTAATCCAGGGTTATCTTCTTCTCCACTGATGCTAATTCCATTTTTGCCCTTCAGATTCCAAATATACCGGGCAGGGGAGCTTTACAAACATAAATCATGGCTTTTAAGGGCTTTACATCTTATAATTGGTGGAAGGTGTGTACAATAACAATATAACATGCATATACTAAATTTGTTTCTATTAATTCAAGTTTCTATTAAAAGATTCAAGTGTTTTTTTAATTACAGGTTTTGATGGGGAGGCTTTTGGAAGGTATTTAATGAATATTTTAATTACAGGTTTGGGGGAAGAATGAATATACAGATGTCGAGCTTGATAGGGTGCGTGAAAAATGGGATACTTATGTCATAAACTTAATTTACGAGTGATGTATTTGACAATTACTTTTTGATGAATTTGGAACGTATTTTTGAATTTGACACTATAGTTTGTGTAATTTAAACAATAAATTTGTAATTTAGTTTGATTAAGATTTGGTAGAATATATATATATATATATATATATATATATATATATATATATATATATATATAATTTAAAAAAACTATAAAACCAAGACATACAAAGCATGTCGTAAAAATATGTCAAAAATCATATTGTACAAAACATGTCGTAATTTGAAGTCGTAAATGTCCGTCATAAATACAAAAAAGTTACGAATTATGACAAACAAAGTCAGTCGTAAATGTATGTCGAAAACGCATGTCGTAATTGTTGGTCATGAAAGTCTGTCGTAAACTTTATGACAGACCTAATGTCTGTCATTTTCCTTTATGACATGGCTTTCAATGACAGACAGTTGTCTGTCATATATAAGCATTTATGACAAACATTGTCTGTTAAGGAAAACCTTTTTTCTAGTAGTGCAAATTAGGATTTAGATATCTGTACATTTCATAACATAAATATTTTGCAATAAATAGAACATGCATGCAATTCCTTCAATTTGCAATCCATAATATGATACAAAACATCACATATATTCATCACATCAATAATTAAACATTACAAGTCTATAACTGGTTCATGTTTGGTCATCGCATGTCATAACACTTTATTACCAATATACCAAAAATGAATATACCAAAAATGGGGTATACTTACTAAAACACATGATCACTATCACATTAATATCTTACATGATACCTAAAAGTTGTGATGTTACATGAAAGTATGATTCTCTAATAGGTAAATGAATAAAAATATGTTAGTTTTTTTTTTTCTAATAGGTAAATGAATGTTAATTAATATGTTAGAGTTTTCTTGTATTTAGCCCTATTTCTATAGTAGGGTTTCGTTCTTCAAAATCATATTATATACTTATAACATTTCCAAATTATAGTAAGAAAAACCTATGTACTTTTATATTCTGCAGGTAAATTCCTATAAACCAATTTCAAGGAATGGGTAATAATCCAAAATTTTAAATAATACCTAGTTTCGAGTATTTCAATAAATTAACGGACTTCTTGCAAGACTTTATTTTTGTTTACATTAATTTGATCAACTAATTCACATAAGTGGATAAAAATTGGAAAAACCTTAACATTCGCTCCCTCTTTCTCCTTCTCTTAAATTATTCTTACTCTTATCTTTTCTTTATGGAATATTTAATTGATTGATTTGATTCAAATTGAACAACAATATGCAATGTGAGTGGCAATATATTATTTTGTTTAAATATGTAGTCGACAAAATAATGGAAATAGAATCACCATTATGTACATTTTAGATTTTTATCTAATAATGTATTCAAAGTCAAATAAGCTTTTATATTATTTAAATAAATTATAAATTATCGTTGTATTATGTTCTTTTCCAATGCACTTCTCGGTTGAATTGATATATTTTAATATAGGTTATGTTGAATAAGATCCGATCTCCCAAAAGCATAAAACTAACATAAGAGATACGATTGATAACCAAATACCAAATACCAAATACAAACAACTGGAACAATAAAGTTTAAAATCAGAAAATTGAAATACATACATTTATTTTGCTATTTATTAACATTAATTCAAACCACAACGTTGCCCTTACACCAGCCATATTTTTTTAAGATCTTGGAGGTATAATCATCAAACTTTCGGTGTTCTTCGACCTGAAAATTTGATCCAGTTGAGGACTGATATTCAAAGCAGATTGTAAAACCTCAGGTGATAATGCCTTCCAAACCGACACTTTTCCAGCTAGTTGCTCGAAAACAGGCCTGTAAAAACACTCAAATTGTGAACAAACATGAGAAAGAGAATTTGATGCTAAATCAATTTAACGAGTGAATATATAAAATATGACTCACTTGGAGGTATTTGTGATCGAGAAAAGCTCCATTCCACACTCGTCTGCAATCACAGTAACAGCAAAGAATTGAGGAACAACCATCAATTCCCCTTCTCCCACTTCATCATCAAAACTAGGAGTTCCATCACCACCCACGACCCGGATCCGACCACTTCCCTTGGCAACATAAATGGCTTGAACCGACCCGTCTGCCACATAGCTTGGTGCCAATATAGCCTTACCTTTCAGTCTCACAAATCTTGCACTCAAACCCATCCCAACAAGCATCGGAAAATCTTTTTCCGTCAAGGAATTGATGATTCCACCGCCCTTCACAACCACATCCGCTTCTGGTTCCGGAGTATCAATGGCTCCATATAGTTTCTCCTTAACGTGTTCACTTGCGTTGGGAAACGCAATTCCATTCCTCAGTTTAACAATCAGAGCACCTGGTTGGCTTGTTGCAATATCTTCCGCTTCCTTGTTGTTCAGGCCGAAGACTTTAGCAACAACATCTGATTGGAATCCGCGTAGAATCCCAAGAACTCCAGCCATGAAAAAGTAGGTGAATTGACCTGGCATTTGAGCTTTGGTAGTTTCACCGATGAATACAATGGTCATATCGGTTTCACCACCGTTGAACCACCATGACACCACCCCACTTGGCAGTGGAATTACATCCCCTTTCTTGATCACTACGACTGTTTCTTCCGTACTGTTAGGTGCCACCAATCCAACCGTGCACACACCTGTATACATGAAGGATATATAGATTCATGGTCATTGATTATCAAAATTACGTCGACGGTATATATACGAACGTACCTTGAAGAACATAACCGAATTTGGAGGAATCAGCATAGTGAGGAAGAGCGAATCCAAGAGGGTGGAGGAGAAGCTTGCCGGCACCTAGCTTTGAATCCTTCAATAATGGAGATTTGGAAGTTGATCATGAATAGTAACCTCCACCGTCACCCTCATAGGCCGTCTCGTCCGCCGCCTCCGCCACCAATTTCATCTCCATGTTTATTTTTGATGTCGAAAATGTGAGATTTGCAAAATATATGTATCGGGAATGTAAAAGTTTGATTCCGTTCTACAATGGAAATGTGGGATATTTTTCGTTGCAGACAGGGGAGTGGTACATACATGAGTTTTTATACTAAGAGTAAACGGAAAGACTTCACGGTCTTTAGCGGCTTTAGTCCTTTTGACAAAAACATTTGCAACCAAGGTCCTTGTGGTCACTCATTCAAACTAGTTATACTTTTTATATTGATTTTCTATTTATTAATTGTTTTAATTATTTAAAAATAAAAATGCTCCAACCACTGCCCATTCATTCCCCCTCCTGCCTCTTTTCCTCATGTTCACGTGTCTCCCTCTCTAACACCTTGTTCTCGAGCTCAACTTAACGAGGGAAATGAATGGACATGGATGAAAGTGAAAAGAATCGTTGTTCCTGAGTTTTTAAAAAGATGAATCGGAAGGTCAACTTTCCCTTTAACTTTCCTTTAAAATTTGGAATGTTTGTTTTCCTTTGACTTCTCTGCAACTCGGGAACACAAAATACAATTTTCTTTCCCTTTTTTCTCTCTTCTTTTTTCTTTATATAGTCTTTCCCCTTCTTTTCTTTTCTTTTCTTTGCTAAATATTGGAAACAAGGAGTTAACCCTAACACACTTCACCTTATTCTCTCTTCTTCTTTTCCCTAAAACCTAACCTACATCGAAAAGCACCAAGACCAACCCTCATCTTCCTTCTTCGTGTCTCTTTTTTACAGTTGCGCTAACCAAACACAACTACCTTCACCGTCATTTAGCTTTGTCGTTGACCAACATAACCACACCAACACACACTGCCCTTTTGTAATTTTAAGACCACCGATTGCCACCATTTGTTTCTCTACTATATTGTAACATCCCGAAAATCAAGGTTAAAAATTTCATTTCTAATATACAAATTCAAACATGTTCCAAAATAAAACAATTATCAGAGTAACTCCCAAAATCATAAGCCGGGCCCTTCCCTTTCGAACCGGAAGTACCTGAAACCATAAACCACAAACTGTAAGCACAAAGCTTAGTGAGTTCCCCAAAATACCACATACCATACATAACCATGAGCCAAACATATCAGACATATCCAATCAATCAATAAAAGTGCTATGTGCCAACCATAGTCTTGCCATTATGCCACGAGCCGCCTCGTAGTCTTCCTTGCCAGGCCGGGGGCCAAAACCATGGGTCTTACAGACAAGTGCCAGGAGCCACCTCCGGATCTTCCATGCAAGCATCACAAAGACAACTAGCATACAACCTACAACTACTTAAATAATACTTGCCAGAGTTCAGACTTTGGTCTTGCATATAATTTGCCAAGAGCCACCTCCTGGTCTTTCATACATAATGTCAAGTGCTACCCCCGGGTCTTCCTACAATAAATAAACCAAATGGGTCGGCATTGGTGCCTTCGACCCATAGAATAGTGAGGAGACTCACCTCGAATGCAGAAGCTCACTAAAAGAAATCCCCAGCTGTCGTCCTGACGACTACCCAAGCTATCAGAACCAACATAACACCCAATCAGCAATTGGATTCCAATCTAAGGCCCATAATCCATACTTGGGGTAAAATGACCATTTTACCCATGACCCAACATGAACCAAAACTGAGGCCCAAGCTCAAGACCAAAAAGGCCCAAAACCAAAAAGATCCATAAAGGCCCACTAATGGCCCAATTTTCCAAATTAGGCGCAACCCCATATGGGCCTTATCCTTGTAACACCCATAAAAATTCGAGCCAATTTAAAACTTTTTAAATCATATAAAACCATTCAGTTATTACAATTTGTTTTCAAAATAGTTTAAACATTAGAGTTCCCAGAAATCCTAATCATGAATCGAGGAAGTGTACGGTCACGCCTAAACTGAAACTGTAAGCCCGAAAGCTTAGTGAGTTACCCCCAAAATACCCATACACACACCAATACACATACAATAACAAACAACATACTATGGGTCCAATCATCCGTCGGGATGGAATACCGTCCAATCAACCATCGGGTTGGAATACCCCAGGCCCACAACCATCAGGTTGGAATACCCACCTACTACGAGTCCAATCATCCTCGGGATGGAATACTCTCGGCCCACAACCAACAGGTTGGAATGCCCACACACAATACATATATCACAGATACTATGGGTCCAATCATCCATCGGGATGGAATACCCCCGACCCACAACCATCGGGTTGGAATGTCCTCATACTATGAGTCCAATCATCCTCGGGATGGAATACTCACGGCCCACAACCATCGGGTTGGATTTCCCATAACCAATCAAACATGTGTACCTATATCAGATAATCATATAACAAACTATAGAGACAACATACTAGGGTCCTATCATCCTCGAAATGGAATACCCTCAACTACCAATCAATCATGTGCACATATAACAGGTAATCTCCTACCAGCATACAGACAGTCAGACCAACTACAGGTCTCTAAGCATAACCACATCCTATCTACCAGGATACCGATCTAACATAGCATACCAACATATAACCATCCTATTTACCAGGATACCGATCTAACATAGCATTCCAACATATAACCATCCTATCTACCAGGATACCGATCTAACATATCATAACAATATCAATTCCAAATAACAAATCAAAGGGCCGGCCTTGGTGCCTTAGACCCTTGAGTACAGTGAGGATAACTCACCTCGCAAGTAGCTCGGAAGATAGGGTCAAACTCCTCCAAATGTGACTCCAACTCCCACACCTATTTTCACCAATGTCCATTGCTATAAATATCCAATTTACCAAAATACCCTCAGAAGTCAACTGGTCAACCCTTGGTCAAAGTCAAAGTCAACTACCAAGGTCAACAGTCCATGTTGACCTCAACTCGTCGAGTACCCTCAGCTACTCGCCGAGTTCCTTGCATAACTTGCCAACTCGCCGAGTCACTCGTCTGACACGCCGATCCCAAGGCAAACTTCATCGGACTCGCCGAGTCACTCTACTGACTCGCCGAGTCTACGTCAATCTTCATCGGACTCGCCGAGTTGACCATGCAACTCGCCGAGTCCCTTCAATCCTTCATCCATACAGAAGCTTCTTCGTGAAACCAAGGCTCCAAATTGTAGATCTAGGCTCCTAGGGTGTTGTTATCACGTAAAGTTGCTAACTTTACGTGCATGCAAGGCTCTATGGAACTAAAACACTCATACCTAGCATTAGGAGAAGGTTTTGGACATGAAGGAGGGTCAAAGCTTCATAAAGCTTGAGGCTCTCTGTCCACAAAGCCTAGGGGAGTCAAGATCTGAAACTTTGCCCTTGTGACAAGCTCAAACCTGAAAATGACTCGATCTTGCCCTAGAATTGACCATTCTCTTCCACAAAGGGGAGATCTAAGCAATGAAATGTAAAGGTGGTAGCTTTATACCTTAATCTTGATGCCACAAAACTGGAAAGGCTGGATCTACAAGCTTTTTCTTGTCCCAAGCTCTCAACTCTTCAAGAAATGCTCCAATACACTCTCTTTGGTCTCACACACTCAAGAATAGATACTAGCTAGCTATTAGGGTTTTCTCTGGACGTGAAGGTGACAAGGGAGGTTGGGAAGGAAAGTTAAGGACCTTTAAATAGGGTGCAAAACCCCGAAATTAGGGTTTCATATTCTAGCTCCTACTCGTCGAGTCCCTTCTTGGACTCGGCGAGTAGGTCACTTAAACACGTGGACCAACCCGCTGCTACTCGGCAAGTCAGGCAACCAACTCGTCGAGTAGACCCTAAAATCATGAGAACTTATAACCACAAATTGATACTCGGGAATCAGGGCGTTACAATTCTCCCCCACTTGAACTAGACTTCGTCCTTGAAGTCTGCTGCAGTGAACAACCTTGGATAGTGCTCCCGCATCTCTGCCTCCGGCTCCCACGTCCACTCGGACCCTCATTGGGGCTCCCACTGTACCTTTTCCAAAGGTACCTCCTTGTTCCGCATAACCTTCACTCTTCTCTCCAGAATGGCCACATGCCTCTCAACATAACAAAGGCGCTCACCGACCTGAATGTCATCCAACGATACTACCGCCTCCCGATCCATGATGCACTTTCGCAATTACGAAACGTGAAAGATGATGTGAAACCCAACCGAACCCTTTGCTGACAGGACATTTGTCCCACAACATCATACAAAATCAATCCACTGAAACACGAACACTCAGGCCTGGCCCAATCAGCCTCGGGCTGGTATACCAGGCATGCCTACGACGGGTCCAGTCATCCCTAGGATGGAATACCCTCGTATCACACACATGTTTGGCCAAGTCAACCCTCGGGTTGGAATACCAAACATATCAGGTCCAATCAATCATAGGGCCCGGTCATCATCAGGATGGAATACCCTATATTGGAATACCTCTAAGAACATAACTCAGGTCTACTCATATCTTGAGATCCAAGGATCTACCCTTGCGTCTCATCCACAATCCTCTGATTCGTCATAACCAAGTGTAACTCCCCCGAATCTCAACAATACATCCCTTCCGAACACGCTCCTACAAGATACATAACCATCACAATCTCTATGCCCACAACCTATGACTGGAATACCCTTACATGGTCCTCAACATAGGCCTGGATTGCTTCAGAGCCCACAACATGAGTCTGGTATGCCCTCTCCGACCCTCAACTCATGATTGGATTGCTCCCGATAACCTATCGACACCGTTGTCGTCACTTCAGTTGCCCAACACTCCGTCCTGGAGATACTCACCTCCTCCATTGCCCAAGAGGGCCTAATCCATGTCCTTTACAACACCGACATGTGACACAGTAATGAAACATCACCCTACACCATCCACTTATAGAACAAGTTACCACTCCAAAGTTTTCCAAGCTCTCCTTCATAACCACCGACAGCTCCTAAGAGCATTCAAAAGGTGATAACTAGCAAGCGTATAACGTATACTCAGTACTAGATCATATAACCTATACAAAGTCT